ACTTTACTGGCAGTTAATAACAGTCCCTGATGCTCTCGTTAAAGAAAGGATTAACTTTGGGAGGCTAAGTGAGTGTCAACTGAGGTGGGAATTCGTTGAAAGAGTATGTAGGGTGGCATGACATTGGTGTGGTTTATATATCGTAATGTTAAGACCTTCTTCTTTTCTTTCATGTTTCTTCTTTTTATATAAAATTATAAAGCTGCCCTTCATTTAAGTGTAAAATCAGATCTCTCTACTGCAATATGTAGTGAAACTTGAACCACTTTCGGAATGTCTGTTTCCTTAAATGTCCCTGTTGTGGTTGTTAAGAATTAGGAGATGAGTTGAAAAATTATTATTCTTGTACAGTAGCTCGACATACTGCTTGCATAAGTAGGAGGGTCGAGGTATAATTACTTTGTATGTGTACCCAGAATCAAGTAGTGTTCATAGTATGTTTATTGCTAAATTTTAAAAATCTTTAGATATCTGGTGCTTTTGACGAAAGATTTTTTTATATATAAGGCTGTCATCCACTTCTTCTGGCCTGAAAGAACGAATTTATTGCCATTTACTATGCTCTCGGAAATATTCATAGTTTGTATCCTAGAATCTTTCAGACTTCTTATAAGTCTGTATTTTCTACTGAATGTGAATTTTCAAGGCTCCACCATTGGAATAGATCATAGATGCAACTTAACCTCTTTGTAAATTTCAGACATTATTATCGATCTTAGTAGATTAGCATTTTTAAAAAGTTATATTTCTTATGCAATATGGCTAGTCACCAATTGGTTTTCTGTGCTTTAATATATAAAATAATTGTGATTTATAGTCTTTTACAATATTCAAGGGGGACAGAGCTGTAGCCTTGTAGCCATTTTATCATTCCACGTATACCAGAATATTTCAAGGCAAACAATCTGTATTTTTGCATAAGACTTCTAACTGTAGATTAGCAGTCATCTCCATGATAAGGTGGGAATTCTTCTTCGTAAATTTTTTTATGCAAGATATTATTCAACTATTTATGAACAAGGATTTTTCTTTTTTTCTTTTGGCTGTGATGTGTATTACAAAAATCTTTACATTAGTTAGTGAATAGCCATACCCTGTGTTAGTGCTATTGTCAGCTCAAATGTATTGTATTTTTTATTATACTTGTAACTTATTATATTCCATTGTAGGGTGTATTCAACACACAAGAAAGATTTCACAATCCTAATGTTGAAATAAGATTTGTATTTGCATGATTGGTGTGTGCATGGTAAGACCAGTAACAAACAGGGTATGGGTAGGTTAAGAGGTATGTTCATTTACAGCACACAGGTGTGTCTGGTAGATTATTAAAAGGTCTTTGGATTATTGAATTGTAGGATAGTACACTAATCATATTCAAGTTTCTGGTTGTGATTGTAAGTTGTAAATGTTGAAAAATGATATTGTTTCCTCCTTGAAGGAAGGAAGCTGAGATGTTGATTTAACTCTTTGTAGTCAGGAATACAGGCACTAGAGGGGAAACAAAAGCTATGTCAGAGGTGCTGCATTAAACTCTGCAAGGTTCATGGCAACATAAAGGGTGGGCGGGCAAATGGGTAGGTGCCAATCATTCATACAATTTTTTTCAGTGGCTGAGTAGATTTAGATATGCCCCAGGTTGTACTCCTGTTCTGACTTTATTCTGTTGTTGTTTAGGTGCTATTGAATATTTTGAATTTGTACTTCAAGGGGCTCATCAAGGATGTTGAACTGTGGCCCATATGTTCCATTCCATTTTAAATTTTCAAAAAGAGTGGTTTCACGTATCCGGAGCATTTTGCTCCTGGCATGCCCTGTCTCTAGGTCATCAATCAGAAACATGAAAAGCTCTCACTGTAATAGGTAATCGAGTCGTCACATTTCCTTGCCATATGTATTGTAAGCGGTGCTAATTATAATATAGGTTGCCATAGATAATATCAGTCTTGCCTCTTTACCAGTTAGGGATACCCATAGTAAGAGACGAGGGAATTTTCAAGTGGTCTGAGACTACTGTGGTTAATTGTACTATGTTTTTAAGTGGTTTGTACATTTGTATATTTAAGTACACATATCATTTTAGATTATATGCAGAGTTGGATGCAGTAGCCAATCCATAATTGTGATGATGACAGCTTACTTAATATTAACTATTTAAGCAACATGGCTTTTGCATTTTTATTTCACTAATTTCATCTAATTGGAATGTACTTCATATCATACTAGAAGAATATGCTGTTTTACAGAAGGGAGAGAATTCTGGAATTGCACACACTAATGTATGTGAATAAAAGGAGGTTGGTTTAGAAGGACTGATGGACTTCTGCTTTATCTTCACCAAAAAGTTTAACGGGATCCATGTCAGCTCAGGGTGTAAGATGAGCACGAAATGCCTCCCTTTCCCTGCAGAGGTGTCGGCAAGAGTTTAACTGTTTGAATGTGTACTTACAGGTCACCTCATGTATGCTTTATTTAAAAGGTATTAAACAGTTTATGATCAGCTTTTTTTTTTTTTTTTTTTTTAGTTTCCCTCCTCTCTCTCTCTCTCTCTCTCTCTCTCTCTCTCTCTCTCTCTCTCTCTCTCTCTCTCTCTCTCTCTCTCTCTCTCTCACACACACACACACACACACACACACACACACACACACACACACACACACACACACACACACACACACACACACACACTCACACTCTCTCACACACTCACACTCACACACACACACTCACACTCACACACACACACACACACACACACACACACACACTCACCACACACTCACTCACTCACTCACTCACTCACTCACACTCTCTCACACACTCTCTCACACTCTCTCTCTCTCTCTCTCTCTCTCTCTCTCTCTCTCTCTCTCTCTCTCTCTCTCCTCCCTCCTCTCCTCTCCTCTCCCCTCCCTCTCTCCCCTCTCCCCTCCTCCCTCTCTCTCCCTCCCTCCCTCCCTCCCTCCTCCCCCTCCCCCCTCCCTCTCTCTCCCTCCTCCCTCTCTCTCCCTCCTCCCTTCCTCCCTCCCTCCCTCTCTTATAATCACCCTCTCCCCCCCCACAGGTGTAAGTGTTGAAAGCTACATAATTCATCTTTAGGTCATATCAGAAACCTCAGAATAGCATTATTTCATACATGATTTTACAATGAAAAGTACTTTGGTATGATTTCACCTTTTCATTGGTGGAATCTTTTTACTTATTTATACTTTAAAGTTTTTATGGTAAAACAATGCATTACCAACACAAATTATGAAAATATTCCAATGGATTGTGTTATTTTGAATGTAAGGGTAATCTGCCTTTTATCTTTTGTAATATAGGATTGCATTTTGAGAAAATTGTTTATTATGAAGTAGTTATAGTAATTCAAACAAGACAATACGTCCAGACATGACTTCTAATTTGTCACAATGTTGCCAGTACATTTTGCTCTTAAAGATTGTTTTCATTTATATTAAGTACTAACTTTTATATACAGGTGATGCTAATCTGTTGTTTTGGCTTTATAATTTATGTTAATTACATTACTTTGTTGTATATATTCCATTATGGTTGCTCAAATCTGTTACTGCAGCCTTCAACAATTCCAGTGTTGTACTTGTGCTTCAGAGATGTGCCATTACTTATAAATATTATCATATCTGTTTAGTTTCCTTTATCCTCCATGAGAAGAAGAGAAACGGGAGAATTAAAGGACAGAGAGAACTGCTTTTTGTGAAGGAAAAATATCAGGCAGCTAAAGGATTCTTCGGACCAGTTTGATAGTTTTTTTTTCCATGTCTCCTAATCTTTAGTAGGATCTTTGTGCTTGGGAGTAACACAGTAATTATGTATCATTTTCCAGTGATATTAATTATAAATGGTTTACACATTTTTTTCCCCTTTGAATTCTTCACACAGAATAGTATTTATATTCACTGTAGATGTTTAAAAAGTTGAAGTATATGAGGAAAGTATTTCTTTTTCTTGCTTTCACAAAAGTCAGAGATTTCTGTTTTTTTTTAACTCTTGTTTCCTGAAGTATCCAGAAATGCAACTTTCTCCAGGTGCCCCAGCTAACAATTCTTTTTGCAAAAATTCAGGTATAATTTTGCAAGTCTATATTAGTATACAATTAATTGATGACCTTGGGAACAAGTTACCTATGGGGTCATTATCATCAGCTTAAGAAAATATGCCATCTTTGACATAGTACCCCCCCTCCCCTAATCCCTTGCTTGTTGTAGTGGGGGGTTTAGGAGACTGGGGCCCAATGTAGGGGATCACCCTACCTTGGACCTCATTCCTCTCCTCAACTAATCATCTGTCCACTTATCCTAATTGTTAACTCATTTTTTGTTTTGACCAATGACCATTCTGAAGATCCACTAACATCGCCTTGTAAGCCAAAAAGTTTCTTACCCGAGGGCTTTACCCCCAAGCCCAACCCTATTGCTATTTTGAATACACCTCTAGATGTTGACGTGGCAGAAATTTTCAACAAATAAATAATAATTTAACACAGTAGAGACTTATCTTGACAATCTTCAGTGTTCTTTATTTGTGTGATTTAATAATTGTATGTGGGCTACATTTATTTTTTATTCATTTTATTGTATTGATCTGCATTGTGCAATCCATTCCTTGACTTCCAATTTAAGCTAGTGTCACTGGGAACATTTAATGTTCACTCTAGTTTTTTTAGTGAAGTGTCTACATGTAGATGACTCAACAAGTGCTCAATGATGATGGAGTTGATCAGTAGGCAAACATGGCCTTGCCTGATTCCTCCTTGCCTTGAGTTTTAATGATTTTCCTTTCTAAAGCTCATATTATTAATGCTGTTATTATTATTATTATAATTATTATAATGTTACGAACACTACTGATAGGAATATAAAGTAAAAATATTTCTGATAAGCAAGGTAAAGATTTAACAAGTGTGTATCAATAGTAACTGACTTCTTTGTGACAGAGCATTTGTGGAGCCATGTATGTGTAAACACAATTAATAAACTAAACACATAGGAGGTATCGATATTCATGCCATGCCCGTCGGCACTGGGTTAAAGGTTGTTAATAGTTGCATAAATTATAGTCTGTCCGGTCTTTGGATGAAAAAAGAAAAAACCTGATTCACCAGCTTCTTTCAAATGGAAACGGATTCAGTTGTATGTCTCTCATTATTTGTTTAAAGCATTAACCATTAATCTTCTTGTCTACTTAATCTGAAAAAAAGTAAAAAGTAAGTAATTCATGACAATTACTCTGCATACACTCCACCCACCTGGAGAAAAAACTAAAAAATATTTTCAATCTGAACACTGTAATACATTATTATTAACTGAATGCTCATGCTCATTTTGTGAATACTTAGTATGCAGAGGTAAATATGCCTCAAGAGGGATTATGAAGGATATACATGGAGTTTGAATGTACAAATGCTTTAGTGTTATTATTCAAACTGCAACAGTAAAGGATATAGGGTGGTTACAATACAAGAAATGCAATATTTTCATTCCTACTATGCTATTTCCATATCCTTTTTGCAATGTGACTCGCCTAACATAATCTTCACTTGATTACATTCCATCCATTAATACCATAGACATTAATCATGGTACAATCAGTAGAAACCTCACAACAGGAAATACAGATGCTCAAGCAGTTTCATAAGTGGACTGACCGTGTACCTTCCCTATGATATGCCCCAATTTCCATTCTCTCTTCAGTGGTACTGGCTATGTGCACAGGGGAACGTCTTCTCTTCAATTTCCCTTATGTTGTGCAGTCTATTTATTAGAGAGAAACACAATCCTAGCTATTATGACACACTGAATCTTGTTCCTTGTAAGGCAGATTCACTCCCTCGAATACACAAACAGAACGAAGTTGGAGGACTTGTCTTTTTAGACAAATGCCAACTGTTGTCAGTTATTTCTTAAAAAGTTATTAATCAGTATTAAGAACTGCAATTTTGTATTTATTTGTACAGGCATTGAGAATTTATCATTTGCAAAACGGTTTCGTTTGAAAGGCTCAGAGCACCATTTCAGACTGGCTATGCACCGAAAGGGATATAGACTTTGTTAAAAACGACATAAATACCTTGCAAATCATAAAGTAAATATCACATTGTGCATGTAAATAATACTTACAAATTATGCAACATTACAGGAATTTCTTCTTACATAATCCTTCCTAAGTATCCTTATACCTAATCTATAGATGAAAAGACAACAACTCGGCTCAAATTTCAAAATATGGATATAAATCATATGCGTGGACAGCACTGAATACAGTAATGTGTATAAAGATGAAATGAATTGGAGCAACAATAAGAACAGAGCAGTTCCTTGTGGCCTGGAGGATAAGGATATGATCCTCGTGAACTGATATGGAGTATAATCTGACGAGAAATGTCGCAATTTACATCTTTTTCCTAATGTGGCCGTCTCATGTCGCTGTCCATTTTCTTTGTCCGATATGCTTTGTAATTTGGGGCATTCATCCCAGATTTTACCCAGTTACCAAATAAATACGTAAATGTATAAACAGACAAAGAAAAAAGAAAGGACATTTCCTAAATAACTATTGTCATTAGTTGAAAATCTGTCATCACTGTCAAGGGCAATCTGAAAACACTACCTCAGTCCAGCCAGCCAAGTGTGAGTACCCTTCTTCTCTTATCAACGATATTCATGCACATTATAGCAATCTGAATTGAAGGTGTGCAAGAGGCTTTGCAAGACATGCTTTCCAAAAGGTGTAAAATAAAATCATAAATTAAATATATTAATAATAATAATAATAATAACAAAATAAAATGATATGATGTCTTTTGCTTGACAGCTGACTTTATACTAAAAACAATTTAATGGATTTTATTATGAATAGTATTGGTTTTATAATAATATATCATTTTCAAAGAGAAGTATGCCAAAAAGAAGACACTAACTGAGCATAATAAACATGGACAAATACACAGACACACACACATATATATATATTTATAGTTTCTAGTATATATATATATATATATATATATATATATATATATATATATATATATATATATATATATATATATATATATATATATGTATGTATATGTATATATATATATGTATGTATATGTATATGTATATATATATATATATATATGCATGTATGTATATATATATATATATATATATATATATATATATATATATATATATATATATATATATATATATATATATGCATGTATGTATGTATATATATATATATATATATATATATATATATATATATATATATATATATATATATATATATATATGCATGTATGTATGTATATATATATATATATATATATATATATATATATATATATATATATATATATATATATATATATATATATCTATGTATGTATATATATGTATATATATATATATATACATATACATATACATATACATATATTCATATATATATATATATATATATATATATATATATATATATATATAT